TGGATTGTTTCAGGAGGTGGCAGAGGGATGTTTCTAGATTTGTTTGGCAGGGCAGGAAGCCTCGAGTAAAACTTAAGATATTGACGGATGCCAAAGGAGGAGGTGGACTTGCCCTGCCAGACCTCTAAATTTTGTTGTGAACCATCTGCTTTTTGCTGGTTGAGAGAATGGCTGCTTCTTGAAAGCACTGAAGTGCTGGATAATGGCAGACGAAGTTGATGGACTATATGGAATTGGCGGAAATGACTGGCAAGATCCGAGACGAGGGAGAAGAGTCGGTGGAAGAAGATTGGAAAAAGTTTAAAGACTATTTATAGAAATATTGTAAAATTAAGGAATGTTAGAAAAATGTTGGAATGAAGTTATATGCCTTTAGTAGAAATGTTATAAGGAATTAAGTATAAATAGATTAATAGAAAATTAAAGGAAAAATAAGGCAAGAATGTGTTAAGATAATTATAGGATAGAAAACAGAGTAAGATGGAAAGGAATTGCTGAAACAATTAATAGAAGTGGAATACAAAAAGGGAGGTGTGAGGAGGTCATTGGAAATAAGTGAATGAAATATAAGATATTGAAAATGTTTGAGGTGTTTTTAAACTGTTTTTGTTTGTTTTTGCTTTGTTTTGTTAGTTTATGTAGCGTTTTTGTATTGTATTTGTATTGTTTTTTCTTCTTTTTGTTTTTTCTTTGTTTGTTTGTAGTGTTGTGTTGAAAATGTTGAGAAGTAATAAATATCATTTTTTTAAAAAAAGAAAGATATATAATTTTATGGTTTTATTCCAAAGAAAAGTGGTGTTATGCGCCATCAAACCTCAGAAATACACTTTCCCCCAAAAGGTTTACACAATTTCAATTTTGGCTACTGGTGTAATATGGGGCACTTGGGTCGTGTGAATGAGGTGGTTGTTAGGATTAATTCCCCGGGTTGCAGTCATGGGATTGTTTTTATCACATGACGGTGTATGTTTTCATTCCACGTTGTGGGAAGTGACGGAGGCAGGATGTTTTTATTACTGTGTTTCTGTGATGTGGGACATTTGTCCTCTGTTCTTTCTCTTTGCTGTCTGATGCTGAAGAGGAAGGAGCTGAGTTACGATGCTCCGAGTGTGTATATGTAAACAAACGTATAGCCAAAACCTGTGCTAATGAGTCTGAACGCTGACTGCCTATACTCTGCAGATCCTGAAGTGTGCTGATGCCTCTTGGTATCGGACGCTGTGATGTTTGGGCTGGAGAAAGCTTTTGAATCTCCCAAATGAACAACAAGGAGGGCATGTGTCTCTGCCAGACTCCTACTCATGTGTAGGACCTCCTGACAGTTGTTGCTCTGAGCACCCAAACTGCATCTCTCCCCATTTACTGTCAAAGCCTGTTGCTTTCTGGGGTGTGCAGGGTCTTATAGATTAAATGTCCCTCCCTTCACATACTGACATGCTCTGCACAGGTGCAATGGATGTTTTCCAACTCTCTGAGGGTAATGAGCCATGCCTCTCCTTCGGCTAAAGTCGCCTCATCTTACTCCAAAGAACTGGGAGGAATGCAAAGATCATGCTTGGCTTTGGTTCTGGAACTCCATCCAAAGCCTCTAAGAAGGGGTTTCTCTAGGGTACAGAAGGACCTTGTCAAGAAAGGGCTTAGAACTTCTTCTTATCTGGTCAGGGAAGATCCTGAAATCTGCCAGCTTTGTGCTGGGCTGGAATCTTTTCATAACAGCTTGCATTATGCCGCCCTTATCTGGGTTTCTGATCTGCACCTGATGCAGCCACTCCTTGCAAACGCCTGTAACATTCTCTTTCTTTTTCTTTTCTTAAAATGCTTCCTGGTTATGAGTAGGGCTGCTTGTGACTTTTTGAAAAGTTGGGTGGAGATATGTGAACTATGTAACGGGAGCTCCTTCAAGCTGCAAAGGAATGCTAATTGCTTAAGTATATACTTAAATACCTCTCCACTGTAATAATGCAAACACCGTCCACTTACGCACTTTGAGGTACTTGATTAAAGAATGAGGTTGCGGCATCAGAATGTTCTAGCAAAGCCGTTAGTTTTCTACAGAGGTAGGCAGGGGGGGTTATCTCTGCTGGGATTCCTGCTCCGTGTTTGCAGTCATGAGATTGCTGTCTGTCACATGACGGTGTATATTTTCATTCCACAGTGTGGGAAGAAGACGGAGACAGGGTGTTTTGTACTACTGTGTGGGACTATTGTCCTTTGTTTCTTTCTCTTTGCTGTCTGATGAGAAAGAGGAAGGAGCTAAGGCAGAATGCTCCGAGTGTATTATATGTAAATAAAGTAGATTAGCCAAAATGCTGTGCTACTAAGGTCTGTTACACAAACTGTGAATACTCTGCGGATCCCTAAATATGCTTATCCTTCTTGGTATCAGTCACTGTGATGTTCGGGCTGAAGAAAGCTTTTGAAGCTTCCGAACGATCAACCATGAGGGAGAGGACATGCCGGTCGGGCATGTGTCTCTGCCAGGGTCCTGCATGAGAGTAGGATGCTCCTAACAATCTCTGTGTTGTGCAAACAATGAAGATCCCACAACCCAATTCCGCAAGGTTGAAGGTGACTCTGCTACCTCTTGCAAACATCTCCTCCATCACAGGAATCATAAAATTGGAGAGTTGGAAGGGACTGTGAGGCTCATCTAGTCCAGCCCCCTTCGATGCAGGAATAAGCAGCTGTCTCATATGGCGATTGATCCTGCAACCTTGCCATTACAGTGGTGCCCCGCAAGACAAATGCCTCGCAAGATGAAAAACTCGCTAGACGAAAGGGTTTTCCGTTTTCGAGCTGCTTCGCAAGACGAATTTCCCTATGGGCTTGCTTCGCAAGACGAAAAAAATCTGGGTTTGAATTTCTGTGTGCTGGGTGGCTGGGGGAACAGTTGGGGAGGGGTTTGCAAGAATCTGGAAGCTTGTGTGGTTTTCTTCTGCATTTTTCTGATTTTCTGTGACCATTGGGCCACTCTGCTGTTTTTTTAAAAAAAAATCTGGATTTGAATTTCTGTGTGCTGGGTGGCTGGGGGAACAGTTGGGGAGGGGTTTGCAAGAATCTGGAAGCTTGTGTGGTTTTTTTCTGCATTTTTATGATTTTCTGTGACCATTGGGCCACTCTGCTGTTTTTTTAAAAAAATTCTGGATTTGAATTTCTGTGTGCTGGGTGGCTGGGGGAACAGTCGGGGAGAGGTTTGCAAGAATCTGGAAGCTTGTGTGGTTTTCCCCCCTGCATTTTTATGATTTTCTGTGACCATTGGGCCACTCTGCTGTTTTTTTAAAAAAATTCTGGGTTTGAATTTTGAAATGCTCTTTACAGTATGCGTGACTTTAAAGAGCAGTTAATAAACTCTTGTTGTACCAAATTTGGCTTTGTTTGGACTTTTTTTGACCATAGGAACACATTAATTGATTTTCAATGCATTCCTATGGGATTTCGTGCTTCGCAAGACGAAAAGTTCGCTAGACGAAAAAACTCGCAGAACGAATTAATTTCGTCTTGCGAGGCACCACTGTATCAGCACCATGCTCTAACCAGCTGAGCTAGGAGAGGAGAGTGCTCTTGTGCTCTTGAGTGCTTATGTGATCTGCTGGAGCACAAGGGCAATTGGTGGTCCTTCATTGCTCCAGCAAGTGAAAGAGGTGATAGCAAGACCTTTTACTGTAGCCGTAAAGAGAGTCAGAGAATGAGAAATATAACCAAGCAGAGGCCAGATTCATCTCCTTTTTTAATGAGGTTCCTGCTTCACAATAGCTGTTTCGAAGGCAGCAGGTCTTTGCAAGACTGCGTTTTTAATTAAAAGCCATTTCGGTCAGCCGATGACCTTTCATTAAAGTTCAATGTCTTCCACATCTTGAACCTATGCAACGAGAAGCAAGCACCACTGAGGTCAAGGAAGCTTACTCACAGGAAACAAGGCACGGGAGTTAGGATTGCTGTCATGTTGATCCTAATCAATTGGCTATCATGTTATTTACTTCTGCTCTTTTGGGGAAGATGTTGGTGTTAGACACGCACATTAAATGTATCCCCATTGAGTCCGAGAGGTCAAGCCAACTGCTCTGATCATCAGCACTTGAAAAGCACTGTGCCTTTGTCCATGCTGGTTGATTCCAAAAGGTGTGGGCCAAACCAGGTCACTTGATGCCATTGGGATGTCAGGTGATTGACAGGTAGGCAGCCTCACCTGGGTAGATCATCTCCTAGAGAACCCCAAGACGTTTCTTGGTGGGGACACCGGCATGCAATTCCTTCACCACACTCCGAAATCGAGATTGACCCTTCCACAGCAAAGCATATATGGGTGGTGAAGGTAAAGATAAAGCGACCCCTGACAGTTAAGTCCAGACACAAACGACTCTGGGGTTGGGGCGCTCATCTTGTTTTACAGGCCGAGGGAGCCAGTGTTTGTCCGCTCCGCAGACATCTTTTCTGGGTCATGTGGCCAGCATGACTAAGCCACTTCTGGAGCAACGGAACACTGACACTAGAGCAACGCACGGAAACGCCGTTTACCTTCCTGCTGGAGCGGTACCTATTAATCTACTTGCATTTTTGGCATACTTTTGAACTGCTAGGTTGGTAGGAGCTGGGACCGAGCAAAGGGAGCTCACCCCGTCGCTGGGATTCGAACCACTGACCTTTTGATCGGCAAGCCCAAGGCTCAGATGTTTAGACCACAGCATCACCCACATCCCTATATGGGTGGTAGTTTGGTTCAAATGGTAAACTGCCTCACCAGGAATCCAGTGTTGCTCTGAGACATTTTCTGTTGTAAGTGACAAATAAATGCAAATAATAACAATCATTATTATTTGTATTAAAATTAAAATACGTTGTGATGTTGACTCACTTGTGAGAATCAACCCTGGGACTTTTCAAAGTTAATCTCTCTCTCTCTCTCTCTCCCCCCCCTTTCTTTCTCTCTCTGTAAATTTCCAGGCTGACATATTTCTTCCTGGTGGCTTTAATTGATTGCTCAATATATTTTTATCACACAGATGGCAGTTAACCTCTCCTCTGGCTGGAGGGACTTTCAAGGCTGACTGCAGTCCTCCTGGATACATGAACGCTCATTCCTCGAAGAAAATCTCGCCGATTTGCCTCCAAACGTTGCGAGGAAAAGGCAAGCTGGAGACAGGTAAGTCCCGTTCACCTCAGCTTCAGTTTATGAATTATGGTGGAGGGAGGGAGAGAGGAAAACGAATTCCCTGCATGAAGAGCCAGTTGCATTTATGGCCCTTGCTAAACCACTCCCCTTGATTAATAAGATCTTCCTCTAGATAGGGCAATAGATTCACAGTAACCATGGTGATGGGCCTCCCTAAGTCAAAGGTCATTTGTGCAGCCATCATTTTGGACAGGGGAAACCGATGTCTGAGAAGGAAGTAAATAAACCCAGAGCGCTGCTAAAAATAAAAGCGGCTGGGCTTTGTAGTCTTCCCTGTTTACAGACGTTGCAGACGTTAGAACATCAAAGATGGAACAGACCAAAGTCTCTTCTAGTCCAGCCTTCTGTTCACCAGCCAGATTGAAAACAATCCAAGGAACAACATCTGCACTGAATGCAGAAAATCCCAGGTTTAAGTCCCGGCATTTCCAGGTATGCTCTGCTTCCACGATTGGAGGCATCAACCTTGCATGTTTAGACCTTTAAGGTAAAGGTAAAGGGACCCCTGACCATTAGGTCCAGTCAGGACTGACTCTGGGGTTGCAGCGCTCACCTCGCTTTATTGGCTGAGGGAGCCGGCGTACAGCTTCCGGGTCATGTGGCCAGCAGGACTAAGCTGCTTCTGGCTAACCAGAGCAGTGCACAGAAACGCCGTTTACCTTCCAGCCGGAGCGCTACCTATTTATCTACTTGCACTTTGACGTGCTTTCGAACTGCTAGGTTGGCAGGAGCAGGGACCGAGCAATGGGAGCTCACCCCGTCGCGGGGATTCGAACCGCCGACCTTCTGATCGGCAAGTCCTAGGCTCTGTCGTTTAACCCACAGCGCCACCCTCCCCCTTAAATAAATTCAGACAAGTCTCAAATTTTGGTTTGGTTTTTGGCAGAATTTAGGCCACAACTTTATTGATTACAGCAAGTGAATGGCTGCATAGGCTCTGGTTCGACTAGCTCCCTGCACCGTTGCAGGTAGCACTGACCCAGGCTTCCAGCATAGGTCAGCCAAGGGTGAACACCTGGATAAGGGGAAAGCCGGGAGCAGGCTATCTCCACCACCCAAATGTCCCCCTGGACTCAGGCACAGGCACAACCCCCTCAAACCAACGAGTCCCTGGATTCCTTTAACGGAATACCCTTCACATAGGGATGGTGAGAATGTTCTCCCATCCCTATCACCTGAACCAGAGCCTATCTGCAACCTTACAAGTTGTGACAAGTTGCTACGCGGCAGGAGAAACCCAAATGGCAACAGCCAATCAGCCAAGTGGGGAAAATTCCTGCCGTGCCCCTGTCCCAATGACAGATGACATACGATGGCATAGCAAGGTCAAGTGTGCAAGCCCTAAGTATAGGGAGAGGTGGGCGGGTGTTCTGATGCACACACCGAAAGAGGAAGCTCTGGGTCACATGCATAGGTATATATAGGTCCCTCGATCCGTTTGGCTTGCATCCCATTGGCCTGATTGAACCCTGCATCAAGGGACCTACCAATTGGTTGTTGTGGCTATCCAAACGTACCCACCCACAACACAGGGTTAGGTTGCCAGGTCTCACCGCAACATGTGCCCTCTTTAAGGGAGGACCCGATTTCTGAAAAGCAGTTGCTGGAACCCACAGGAGGCAAGAGTGTTGCTTTTGGGACGGGGTCCTGCTTGGAGTTTCGCCACAGGAATCTGTTTTTCTTCTTCCACCTATTGTAGCAGCTGTATTCACTGTGCTAGACGCTGTGTGATTTTAAATTGCTTGCCCATAGCTTCTTTTATTTCTTCTTTTGTCATTATACGCATCTTTATGCACACTTGATTGATTGCATTTATATCCCATTTTTTTCTCCAAGGCAAACATTCTTCTCCCATTCGCCATTTAACCTCCACAACCACCCTGTGAGGTAGGTTAGACTGAGAGACTATGACTGGCCCAAGGTCACCCAGTGACCTTGATGGTCAAGCGAGGATTGGAACCCTGGTCTCCCAGGTGCTAGTCTGACTCTCTAACCACTGCACCACACTGTCTCTCTTGAGCCCAGTGTGTACATTTTTGTCCCCATTACAGTACCTGCCTGAAAAACCGCTTTGAAAATTCAGATGGGTTTTGAAGGATGGAAGTGTTTTGGTTTGCAATGGCCTTATCATCACCTCTCTCCTTTAGACGACTTGTGTTTATTAAGACAAGAGTCTCAAATTATCTACCCATATTATCTGCCTACTCTCCAAAAAATAAAACAAATGCCCAATTAATAGCCACAAGGGAGCCAGAGATTCACTTTCTTCTCTCTCTCTCTCTCTCTCTCTCTCTCTCTCTCTCTCTCTCTCTCTCTGAATACCTTTTATCAACATCCCATTTAGAGCATCTGCCCCCAGAACAATGGCGACGTTGAGGAGAAAGTAGACCTGTGTTCTCTAAAAAGATTTGTTTTTCAATAGACTTCTTTCTGTGAAAAGATTCCCCCAGAATAATTACAGATTTGGTGTCGGAATTATATGAATTCCCAGCAAGCGTTCATCAGGCCGGACAATTACCCAATAGCTCAAATTACATTTTAATGCGTTTGCACGAGGTCGTTCCAAGAGTTCATTTCTGGCCACGTTCCCAGGTGGACAAAAAGTTGGTTTTGCTTTACATCGCACCCTTAGAAGAAGAAGCCTGAACTGTTTCTGAATCCAGCACCAGATCTAATTGTGTCATTTTGGAGAAAGTCACATTCCTATTTCTCTCTTTCCCATTCGAATAAATTTGGGGCAGAGGGGAAGGCAATACTGTTTTTGTTTTTGTTGATATATATGGTAAAGGTGAGATTCAAATCCAGCTCTCTTAATTTATTTATTTATATTATTTACAGCTTTTAAAGCCTGCTCTGCGCTGAATAGTTTCAATCCCAGAGCAGGGAATCAAGTGATAAAAACAAAGCAATGCACAAAATTAGCAAAATAATATGAATAAGCCGAATAAACAACAAATTAACAATTCTGCCTTAAGGTAAGCAAGCAGAACAACAGGGACAAAAAATAAGAATACCAGCTTAATACCAAATACCTGGGTAAACACACACACACACACACACACACACGATATTAAGATATTAATTCACACTTTCTAAAATGACGCACTAACTGAAACACAGCTATCCTTCAAAGCCAGCACTACTCTGAATTTTGCAATGCAGTTCTCCAGCAAAGCAACACACATTCTAGGATGAAACGTGCATAAAGGTAAAAGTAAAGGGACCCCTGACCATTAGGTCCAGTCACGGATGACTCTGGGGTTGCGGGGCTCATCTCACTTTATTGACCGAGGGAGCTGGTGTACAGCTTCCAGGTCATGTGGCCAGCATGAGTAAGCTGCTTCTGGCGAACCAGAGCAGCACAAGGAAACGCTGTTTACCTTCCTGCTGGAGTGGTACCTATTTATCTACTTGCACTGGTGTGCTTTCGAACTGCTAGGTTGGCAGGAGCAGGGACCGAGCAACGGGAGCTCACCCCGTCGCGGGGATTCGAACCGCCGACCTTCTGATCGGCAAGTCCTAGGCTCTGTGGTTTAACCCACAGCGCCACCCGCGTCCCTGAAACGTGCATAAAAAGGCATATATTTGCGAACAGAGATAGATGACACAATCAAGGGTCATAGCAACGGTTCCCAACCCATCTCTCACGTGGGGCAGCCAACCCACTTGGTGTGCCAACAGACTGCCTGTGGCTTCTGAGCAGCTGAACACCTTTCTCTGCCACCCCACCCTGGAGTGGCATGAATCATAGCCCACAAGCATCCAGAGGAGGAAACGCGAAGCAAATTGTCCACAGAAGCAACACAGCAACAATTCCTAGACCTAACACAAAAGAAAAAGAGGGTGTCCAGAAGCCGTGGCTGGTTTTTCTCTTCCGTTCCCAGTCCTGAGGATCCTCATAGGCCTCAATGTTGATAAGGCTGCTCAGGAGGAATGAGGAGGTGGATCTGCTGGGCCTCCCCTTCTCTCTTCTCCTAACCAGCTGATTTATGTTCTCTTGTTCAGCCTGCTGCTCGAAGATATCCTCCAACATTTCTCCGATGAAAATAGGGGTGTCCTATTTAATGATGATGATGATGATGATAATACCTTTATTGTCAATGTACAACCCTACAATGAAATTAACTGAGCCTCCCCCCCAAACACTCAATCTCATTGCACCTTGTGTGCTTGTTGCACAACACACCAACCCCAAAAGTCAGTTGCACTATATTATTTTCCATTCAGCAGCCTAACAGCCCACGGATAGAGACTGTTTTTTAGCCTGTTGGTATGGCTGATTATGAGGGACATGGGTGGAGCTGTGGGTTAAACCACAGAGCCTAGGACTTGCCGATCAGAAGGTTGGTGGTTCGAATCCCTGTGACAGGGTGAGCTCCCGTTGCTCGGTCCCTGCTCCTGCCAAACTAGCAGTTCAAAAGCACGTCAAAGTGCAAGTAGATAAATAGGTACCGCTCTGGCAGGAAGGTAAACAGTGTTTCTGTGCACTGCTCTGGTTCACCAGAAGCGGCTTAGTTATGCTGGTCACATGACCTGGAAGCTGTACGCCGGCTCCCTCGGCCAATAAAGTGAGATGAGTGCCGCAACCCCAGAGTCGGCCATGACTGCACCTAATGGTCAGGGGTCCCTTTACCTTTACCTTTATGACTGATTATACTTCTATATCTCCTGCCCAAGGGTAGAAGATTAAAGAGGTGCTGGCCGGGATGTGAATCGTCCCTGAGAATTTTTCTCGCTCTCCTAAGGCAACGATCCCTTGCGATGCCATCTAGCGGGCTCAGGGGACAGCCCATAACATAATGTGCTGTGTTCACCACCCTCTGTAAAGACTTTCTGTCCATGGCTGTCAAGCCAACGTACCACACTGTGCTACAATATGAGAGGACACTTTCTGTTGTGGACCGGTAGAAGGAGGTCATCAATTTTTGTTTAACATTGTTCTTTCGCAAGACGACGATGATGATAAGTATACCTCACCCATCTGACTGCGATGCCCCAGCCACTCTGGGCAGCTTCCAACATATATAAAAACTTAATGAAACATTAAAAAACTTCAGATGGCTTGGGGATCGGATGAAAATAGGAATGTCCTTCCAACATTTCTCCAATGAAAATAGGGACATCCTATTCAATACCCTACAACAGTTCCCCATTGAAAATAGAGATGGCCCCTCCAACATTTCCCTGATGAAAATAGGGACTTCCTACCATACCCTGCAACATTTCCCCATTACTACTACTAATAATTTTTTATTTGTATCCTGCCCTCACAGGCCACAGCCAGGCTCAGAGTGGCGAACAACAAGTAAGAATAGCAATTAATTAAAATACATTCTAAAATCAATTCAGAATCAAATTAATGCAGAGATGCCCCACTTCCCCCCCGGCTATAGTTTTGGTTGAACGGACCACAACATGAGACAGGGCATTCTTGGTGATGGCCCCCCACCCCAGTTCTGGAACTCCCTCCCAAATGTCCCCCATCTTAGCCTCATTTAGGCACAAGGTGCACAACCCTTTTGCTTCCCCAGACCTCTGGAATGCAATCTTCCTTCTTGGCAGCGCCACAAGAATGCCGTTGTTCCATTAAAGTAAATAGAGTTATTGTGCCATATTAGTTTCCCTGCGCTCTCAGGGCAGGCTTGAAGTATGAAGAAATAAATAAAGATCTGCACCTGTTAATCGCTTTCGTGGGTGGGCTCCCATAAGCCATTAGACCAGCCCTTCCTTGCCTCCCAGCTAGCGAGGCTCTGCAATGCAAAGCCGAGATCGTGTCAAGTACGGTAACAAGATAAGGGTTTATTAATTGTGTAACACTCTGCTACAGTATTTCTCCCGCTCTTCTCTCCCTCTGACCTCATCCTTAGTAATCCGTTTCTTCGCCCTGAGCACGGTGCCTGACAGGTCTCTCTCTGCAGCAGGAAAAACCTTCTGCGGGAAAGCTAGAGAAAGCTTGTTTGCTCTTGCCCGGGAACATCACCAGCCAGCCAGGGCGAAGTCTCTTAGAGAGACGGTTTAGGCTGAAGGCTTTCACTTCCATTTTTCTCAAGTTCAGGTCATATAAGGAAGTTCTGGTTGCTCGTCCGTTCCTCCCCCTTCTCCCCCTTGACAATTTGCAGCTGAAAACCAACAATGTGCCTTTGTGTTCCTGCTTAGATTGCTAAAGGGGGTGTCTTGGATTGAGCAGCGAAAGCGTTGAGTCCCAACTTCTGAGCAAAGGAAATTTGGAGCAACTGATCACTGCATGGATGGTGTTGCCTGGATACTGGAGCCCTCCGCTAACCTCTTGATGGATGTTGATGGCATTCCGCCGGAAAGTAAGGTGTCTGCCCCTAAGATTGAGATAGAAGAAATGTTGGACGGTGCAGATCCTGAGACGGGAGGCGGCGCTCCTCCTGACGACCACTTGCGGAACCTGAAAGCTCTGACGGAGAAACTGAGGCTGGAGACGAGGAGACCCTCCTATTTGGAGTGGAAGGCCCAGCTGGAGGGGATTGCATGGAAAAACCACCCGGAGCCTCCTGTGGAAGCCAGCCGGGATGAGAAGCCAATGGAGGAAAGCGTTCCTTTAACAGAGGTGCAAGTTCATATCAATGGAGGCTCTTTGAAAGCGCAAGTTCCGGTGATGACCCGGGAGAAAATCAGTGGCTTTGGAAATATTGACGAGGCTCTCAACTGGGTCAGGAAAGAACTGGTAAGTTGGTTCCTGCGGATGTTTATTAACCTTTTAATTGCACAGTCCTCTGTGTCGCTTCCTGACGACCTGTTTATTGAGCATTCGCCCTGATTTCTTTGCAGGGAGGTTAGACGGTGCTGGCTATTTAATGAGAATCCGTTCTGATTTGTTTGTGGGGAAGTTAGACGGCTTGGTGTCGAAACCAGTGTTATCCTGCACTTACCGCAGCACTTTCCTTATTGCAAGAAGTCTGACCTCTTGGGGAAACAGGTTTGTTGCACAAGGCCTCCCCATTAGCAATAAGTGTGCGGCCTGAACTTGCTGGCATGTGATTAAATATCACCCTCAAATAGTGACAGCTTCGAAGTTCTGCATGTTCCTCTGACTTCAGTGGGTCTAGTTTCTTATGTGCGTGCACTGGATTTCACCCTAAGGGAAGAAGAAAAATCTCACCTCTCTTTAGTCACAATTATTCACAGAAAACACACAACTCTCTCTCTCTTCTTTCTTTCTTTCTTTCTTTCTTTCTTTCTTTCTTTCTTTCTTTCCCCTTTCCCTATGTTCGTTTATACATGCAAAGCCATCATTCCGTAAGGAAGGAAAAAACAAAAATAGGCCTCTGCTCTCAATGAGCTTACAGTCTGAACATTTTTTGTTGTTCCATTTCCCCCCTCTTCCTTCTTGTTCCATTCCCTCTATTGTTCCTTCTTTAATTTCTCTCCGTCCTTTATGCAGTAATCTGGCTGGCATGCATAACTTTATATACTCCTTCCAGCAGCATTTAAGGAACTCCTTCCGAGCTGGAGATTGCAGTAAAATTGCATACAAGTTCACTATGTCTCTGAGCTCCCCTGCCCAACATTTGGCTCATTTGTGCTGGGGTTTTTTTTTTGGGGGGGGTCTTCTTCTCTCACCTGCTTATTTCGCCACTATAACTAAAAGAAAAGAAAAGAGATAACCTCAACAACGTGGCTTAAAAAAAATAAAATCTGGAGAGGGATTCATGGAATTCATGGAATCTTGTATAATTGAGAGGGATCTTGGAGTTCATCTTGTCTAACATCCTGATCAATATGAGGTCAATGGCAGCATCCCTGTCTGGGGCCAAATAAATGCAGGCATCGAAGGAACACCTGCCACCTCTGAAGGCAGCCAGTTCAGCTGCCTAACAATGTTTTTACCATTGGAAAGTCCCTTCTAAAATTTAGCTGAGATTTGCTTCCCCGCCATTTCCACTTATTGGTTCTAGCACTGCTTTCTGAAGCAACAGGGAGCAGTGGCAGAGCTTCACGTTCTGGCACTGGGGGGCAGAGAGCAGGTGGGGGTGGGGCTGGCGCATGTCCCGGAGATGTGGCGTGCCACCCACAGGGGCGTGGCAGGTGTCCTGGGGGCGTGGCACACCACCTGGGGGCATGGCATGCCGTCTGGGGGTGTGGCACGCCGCCTGCAGGGGCATGGCACCCAGCGCACGTGGGGGAACAGCCGTGATGGCACTCCACCGGGATCGTGCTGCCGGGGGTGGTGCGCTCCCCCCGCACTCCTCTTCCTCCGCCACTGACAGGGAGCACATGTGTTGCATGTAGAAGCTCCCACGTTCAATTCTTAAAGAATTGGGAAGAGTCAGTAGAGAGGAACGAGGAATTTGGTTCACATTTCAGGGTGAATCTATGCAACTCACAATTTTGGAAATGATACATGAACCAAAGCGGAGACATCCTCTAAAATCTGCACTTCTCTGAATTTTGCAATGCCATTCTCTGGCAAAGTAATGTGTCCAAAAAAAGAAAAAGAAAAAAAGGAGAGTGCATATACTAGACTAAAGTGTGCAAAACTACAACTAATCCATTATGCGGCAGCTAGACTGGTGACTGTAAGCAGCCGCCGAGACCATATAACACCGGTCCTGAAAGACCTACATTGGCTCCCAGTACGTTTCCTAGCACAATTCAAAGTGTTGGTGCTGACCTTTAAAGCCCTAAATAGCCTTGGCCCAGTATACCTGAAAGAGAGTCTCCACCCCCATCATTTGGCCCGGGCACTGAGGTCCAGCACCGAGGGCCTTTTGGCGGTTCCCTCCCTGTGAGATGTGAGGTTACAGGGAACCAGGCAGAGGGCCTTCTTGGTAGTGGCTCCTGCCCTGTGGAATGCCCTCCCATCAGATGTCAAGGAAGTAAACAACTATCTGACTTTTCGAAGACATCTGAAGGCAGCCCTGTTTAGGAAAGCTTTTAATATTTGATGAATTATTGTATTTTAATATTTTGCTGGAAGACACCCAGAGTGGCTGGAGGAAACCCAGCCAGATGGGCAGGGCATAAATAAGTTTTTTTAAAAATAATTATTATTATTATTATTATTATTATTATTATTATTATTATTATATTTATTTATTTACATATAATAGTGACAATAGTAAGAAGTATTACCGTATGTTAAGGGTTGCCTTTGCAAAAATGTGCATGTTAGGCAAATAGGGCATGCGAAGATATCTATTTTAGGAGCAATTTGCATGAAAACGATTGAGTCATAGAATTTCAGAATTGGAAGGGACCCCACGGGTCATCTAGTCCACCCACTGCAATGCTTTTAAAATGCCACTGAATTTCCATGAGGACTTTTAAATAAATAAAACATTGCAAACCGATGTGGCACTGCATTCATTGTGACATTGACTTCCTCGGAAGGTGGTGGACTCTCCTTCCTTGGAGAATTTTAAACAGAGGTTGGATGGCCACCTGTCATGGATGAAATTCCTTCATTGCAGGGGGTTGGTCTAGATGACCCTTGGATCCCTTCCCACTCTAATATTCTATGATTCTATGAATAGCAGTGGATCTCCAGGGTTTTAAGGCAGGAGGTCTCCCAGTCTTAGCCCTGGCTGGAGACGCCAGAAATTGAACCCGGAACCTTCTGCATGCAATGTGGGTGCACTAACCACTGAGCACTCTTGCCCCCCCCCCCCCCCCGCAATGAAGAGGAGACGTGTGATGCTGTCCTAAAGAAAATCACCTGCTCCGTTGGCTGAATTTCCTGTACTTTCATCGTCAAAATAGCTTAATAGCAGTTTTGTGCTTCTCTTTCCAATCGATGTTAATGCCTGCTGTAATTGCGTGCAGCCCGGAGACCGAACAGAGGCTGTGATTATAATGCCAGCCTAAGTTGATTTAATGGAAATGCTGACCGGGGCCCTTTGCTGAATTTAGAAAGGGAGACAGGCAGAAGGAAATCTTCGGGTTTTCCCCTGCATACCAGGAGACCGTTCTGCAGAGCTGGTGGCACCATCGGAGCAGGACTTTGGGGAGTCCATTCAGCAGAAGGAGGAGAAGCAGGGAGATCTGCCCACATGCTGAAGCCAAGTAGTACGCACTGTGTGTTGAGGTCCCCAAGCCACCCCAATAACACATCACACGTAATTTTTGGTTTAAGGTTTCTGGCATAATTTTGGTCACAACTTTATTTAAATACATAACTGTGAGTGGTTGCTTAGGCATTGGTTCCGACTATCTGTCCCCCCATCCAGGGACAGAACTGACTTCCAGATTCCAGCGGAAGCCAGTCAAGGAAAACAATACTGGGGAGAAATGAAGCTGGGCACCAGACCCTCACCTCTCCCTGCATGCTCCCAGAGGTTTGCGCGGCCCAAGCCCGATGCCAGGGACTTGGACGAAAGCATGGCAAGCCCCTGGATTCCTTTAATGGAATTCCCTTGCAGTACCAGCATTGGAGGGGTAGGGACTTACCCCTCCACCAACCAATTTTTTAACCAATGCCTAATCGCAAACCTTGCAAGTTGTGTGGTTAAACCACAGAGCCTAGGACTTGCCAATCAGAAGGTCGGTGGTTCGAATCCCTGCAATGGGGTGAGCTCCCGTTCCTCGGTCCCTGCTCCTGCCAACCTAGCAGTTCGAAAACATGTCAAAGTGCAAGTAGATAAATAGGTATCACTCCGGCGGGAAGGTAAACGGCATTTCCGTGCACTGCTCTGGTTCGCCAGAAGCAGCTTTGTCATGGTTTCATAAATCATGGTGCAATAAACCATAGTTTAGAGCTATGTACAAGTTTGGTGGAAGAAATATGTTCTGCTTTTTCAGACTTATTTTCAACTCAGAAATCTCTGCCCCCTTCCCTTGTATAATCCCGTCAATGAGAGAGAGAGAGAGAGAGAGAGAGAGAGAGAGAGAGAAGATAATAGAATCATAGAATTGTGGAGATGGAAGGGACCACAAAGGGCATCTAATCCAACCCCCAGTATGCAGGAATCTTTTGCCCCAAAGGGGGATCAAACCTATGGCCCTGAGATTAAGAATATCATAAACAAAGGCCAGCTTCCTTGGCCCAGAATGCTGCCTCCTGCCTCCTGCACCACAATTAACCTGTCGCTGGTTCTTCATCTATTGCCAAAGGAGAATCTGATGTGTGAGAAACTCAATCTTTTTATCTGGGACACCCGAAACCAAGTCTGAAGCCAGGGGACAGGGATTCAGCGCTGGCACCTTTCCTCTTTGTCTGAGCTGTAATCCTTTTGTCAACCATCACAAGGCTTTGTCCGTTGCCCCTTTATGCTCCTATCCTGTGGAGATCAGCTCCCCACCGACTCCCTTCTTTGTTTTACAATGCGAGAGAGAGACCCTTCTCACCCTGAAAGAGCAAATGAAAGCTGGCGAGAAGCTTTATCTCCCTGGGAAAGTTTGGAAACTGTTGGGCTGGAGCTGCTGAAGAACTGATCCTCATTCCCCCTCTCAACAAAACACCGGCAGAGTCCCATTGCAGATGGAAATAAGGTTGTAAGACTATAGAGGCACAAGAATTGGGGCCATCTAGTCAAGAACTACTTTTTCCATAAGATCTAGATGCCCTCATAATCAGAGAAGATGAAGATGAAGATGAAGGAAGAGGAGGAGGAGTTTGGATTTGATATCCCGCTTTATCACTACCCTAAGGAGTCTCAAAGTGGCTAACATTCTCCTTTCCCTTCCTGCCCCACAACAAACACTCTGTGAGGTGAGTGGGGCTGAGAGACTTCAGAGAAGTGTGACTAGCCCAAGGTCACCCAGCAGCTGCATGTGGAGGAGCAGGGACGCGAACCCGGTTCCCCAGATTACGAGTCTACCACTCTTAACCACTACACCACATTTTGAATCAGGACCTGCAAAAAACATTCCTGTTTAGAGAAGAATACACAGATGCTTAGAAAGTCGATGCAATTCCATTTTAGTATTTTAACTTTCGTATGCGTTAAAGCGTGGTTGTAAATGTTTCTTGATTTTATTGTTTTCCCAATTCATAAACCGCTTTGAAGAGGGTGTGTGTGTGTGTGTGTGTGTGTGTGTGTGTGTGTTTTGCAATCAAGCCACGTGTCAATTCTATGAAATTAATAAATAACAATAACTCTTATAGGTGACTCGGAAACTTCAGCTTGTCCAAAATGCAGCGGCTGGATTACTGGCTGGGCTTCCATTTTAGATCTCATAGAAGACCAGTTTTGAAATAGCTGCACTGGTTGAGAGTGTGTTTCTGATCCCAATTCAAGGTGCTCACGTCACTATTTAAAGCCCTAAATGGCTCGGGCCCCAATTACCCAAAACACGGTCTCCTTCTTTCCATCCCCTCTCAGGTGCCACAATCAGCAGAGGTGTCCATCTCAGTACCTTGGAAGTTGAACGGAATCCATTTCGGAACTCCGTTTGACTTCCAAAATGTCCAGAAACCAAAGTGTGGCTTCCAATTGGCTGCAGGAGCTTCCTGCAGCCAATTGGAAGTCCCGGAAGCTGCACTGGACATTCAGGTTCCCCAAAAAATTCAAAAACCGGAACACTCACTTCCGGGTTTTGATTGTTCAGGAGCCGAAACATACAAGTACCAAGGCGTTTGACAACCAAGGTACGGCTGTAGTTCCTCTGCCCTCAGAGGCAAGGGTGGTGGTGGTCCACGAGAGAGCCTTCTCTGTGGTGGCTTTTAAATTGTGGACCTCCTTCGCTACAGTCGTGCACCTGGTGCCTTCATTTAAGAGCTTCTGGAGAAGGCTGAAGAAACACCTCTTCACCCTGGCTTTTGACGCTTGAGGTGTACGTTTTTAGGACGCAGCTTATTCTTGTGATTGCAAGTTGCTTCAAACTGTTCTTAACATTGTGCTTTGATGTTGCAAATCACCCCGGGACCTTAAGGAAGAAGAGTGTGCAATAAATAAATATTCTTGCCTACCTTTCACCCTAAGGCCCCAGAGTGGGTGACTACAATTAAAATGGAATGTTAAAAAGCTTTTAACCGTAATTATTTTCAGAATGTTTTGTTCTGCTTCGTTTTTAAATTGTGCATCTGTTTGGCACCTGGGTTTCCTTGGGGAGGAAGGGCAGAATAAAAATCCAACGAACAAATTTGCTCCCTTCCCCCTTTCCTGGTTAAAGTAGCCACTTTAATCTTACCCTCCAACATTTCCGTGATGAAAATAGGGACTTTTTCCTAAGGAAAAGTGGGACATTCTAGGATCAAATCCTATTCCATACCCTCTAACATTTCTCCGATGAAAATAGTAATGTCCTAAGGGTGGCGCTGTGGGTTAAACCACAGAGCCTAGGACTTGCCGATCAGAAGGTTGGCAGTTCAAATCCCCACGACTGGGTGAGCTCCCGTTGTTCGGTCCCAGCTCCTGCCCACCTAGCAGTTCGAAAGCACAAAGTGCAAGTAGATAAATAGGTGCCGCTCCAGCGGGAAGGTAAACGGCGTTTCCGTGCACTGCTCTGGTTCGCCAGAAGTGGCTTAGTCATGCTGGCCACATGACCCGGAAGCTGTATGCCGGCTCCCTTGGCCAGTAAAGCAAGATGAGCGCCGCAACCCCAGAGTCAGCCACGACTGGACCTAATGGTCAGGGGTCCCTTTACCTTTACTTAAGGAAAAGTGGGACATTCAGGGATCCAATCAGAAGCTGTCCAGGGGCTGTCCCTGGAAAGTAGGGACACCTGGAGGGTCTGCTTTAACCCCTCATGCCCCTTGACTATGAAATTATCCCTGCCTGCCTTTTGTGTTCCAGATGGAAATGCGTCTCCAGGACCAGCACCTGGCCCGGCAGCTGATGCGCCTGCGCAGTGACATCAACAAGCTCAAAATCGAGCAGACCTGCCACCTCCACCGGCGGATGCTCAATGATGCCACCTACGAGCTGGAGGAGCGGGACGAGCTTTCTGACCTCCTGTGCGACTTCCCCCTGACGTCCTCCTTCAGCCTCTCCACCCCGCTCAAGCTCATTGGCGTGACAAAGATGAACATCAACTCCCGCCGGTTCTCGCTTTGCTAGAGGGAGGGGATGGGAGGGCAGAGGGGCAGAAGCGGGCGTGGAGGGTGACCTTGCCAATGGAGAAGGAGGAGAAGCTTGCTTGTCCTCTTGCTCGGCAGGGGAAGGCAGGTGAGGTCGGAGGACAAAGAGGGAAGGCGGAGCAGATCTGGCAAGGGCTCTTCCACCGATCCAGTACGGCTGGGCAATGGTGACAGTCACATGTTCCCAGAGTGCTTTGCAGGAAAGATGGAGAATACAAACAACCAGCTTCTTCAAAGAGAGGCAGAGAGGCTACCCTAACCCAATACTTTCCTTCAGAAACAGTCTCCCTTCCCCGTGGGTGGAATAAGGGTGTGAAGTATGGTTACCAGACGTCCCCATTTTCCGAGGACAGTCCCCAGATTTACAAATCTGCCCCCGGACAAAATCCGTCCCCGCATTTCATTTAATGTCCCCGGATTTATATTTTAAGTGTTGTAGATTTATTAGTAGGGAATGAATGTTGCGTGATTGGTTCAACGGCAGAAGACACATCAAATGGGGACTTCTGGCGAGGCAAAATGGTGAATGCCATGGCAGCGGGCAGCTCCTGAAGCCAGCCAGAGCCAACTGCACTACTAGGCTGGCTCCGGGCTACTGAGACTGCCACTGTTACTGCCACTGCTGAGGGGGAACTGGGGACGCCCTCTGCGTCAACTGGGGGAACCGCTGCTCCTCCCCATGACCCAAATCAAGCTGGGAGCGAGAGCACCCGGTCACCCAGCCGACTGCCCAGCGGCGCTCCAGGGCTAGGAAAACCCTGGAGCTAACGCAGTGAGAAGGAAGAGAGAGAAAGAGGAAGGAGAAAAAAGAGGGGAGCCCCGACCTTGCCGCACCGCTGAGGACGAGAGGTAGGAGAGCACTGGGAGGGCAAGGACACGTGGCTGAGCCCAGGCCCAACCTGAGCCTACTCCAATGCGGCTAGCGCTCCAAGAGAGCAGGTCAGAGCCCAGAGGAAGGCCGCCTGACAGAGGAGACCACATAAGAGAAGATATTACTTCTTAATTTTTTAAAAAATAACTTTCCCCCCTCTTTTTTTTAAAAAAGTGTCCCCGGATTCTTTGAAAAAAATCTGGTAACCTTAGTGTGGAGAGATGTGGCATGGCATGGACATCCAGTTGAAGTTGAATGGTCACTGGGGCCAAGATAAGGGAGTGGTCCTTCATGCATTGCCCAATTAATCTGCCTTTGTGGAATTCCACACCACCTGTGACCTTATCGGCATCCGCATTGCCGCAAGTGAAGAAGTAACTCTGTTGTCCTGTTCCTGTCCCTTCCATCATTTTCATAGGGAGATCCTCTCAAAGAGAGAAGAGTGCTGCTCTCATTTATATAGAACTCTATACACATCTGTCACCTTGTTCTTCATTTGTTCCCTCCGAAACTAATCCCCGACATCCTGCATTTATCCTTTATCTGAGGGGAGAATGGCTGCCAGTCAGTGTAGACAATATTGCGCAAGATGGATCAATGGTCTCAGTCAGTGTAAGGCAGCCTCCTAGGATGTTCCTGTGGGAAACAGTGAGAAGTGACGGCAGCCAGCGTGGCAAATGGTCGGGGTGATAAGAGCTGTCCAGAGTACCTGGTGGATTCATTGGCAATAAAAGTTGGGGTCCTGGCTAAAGCCAATTGGTGCTCTGTGTCCGCTTGTTGTTGTTGTTTAGTCGTTTAGTCGTGTCCGACTCTTCGTGACCCCATGGACCAGAGCACGCCAGGCACTCCTGTCTTCCACTGCCTCCCGCAGTTTGGTCAAACTCATGCTGGTAGCTTCGAGAACACTATCCAACCATCTCGTCCTCTGCCGCCCCCTTCTCCTTGTGCCCTCCATCTTTCCCAACATCAGGGACTTTCCCAGGGAGTCTTCTCTTCTCATGAGGTGGCCAAAGTACTGGAGCCTCAGCTTCAGGATCTGTCCTTCCAGTGAGCACTCAGGACTGTTTTCCTTAAGAATGGATAGGTTTGATCTTCTTGCAGTCCATGGGACTCTCAAGAGTGTCCGCTACACATTGTTTAATGGGTGCTTTGGCCTGATCATATTCCATGCTGAGTAGAAGACCTGGAGAGAAGCCCAGGGACGAGATTTTAGTTGCCACTGCCTGTTTCCACGTGGATTGAAAACCATCATTCACAGTTAGTGGGGCAAGGCCAAGGGGGAAATAAAGATAGTCTGAGCCAATAGTTGAGTGTGGTCACCCACACTCTAGCCTCCACTTTTGTGAAAAACTTTATGGAATAATTCAAAACATCAAAACTAACACGATTGCATGAGCACTGTTCCAGAGTATTTTTCATTCTCATGTATATTATATCTATTAAAAAAAAAGATTGGTTAATGAAGAAATTACATATCTTTCTACTTATGAGTGTTGAACTAATTGGCTGATGAAGAATTCAAGGAAACAGTAGTTTATCTGGAAAACACTGTTCAGCAGAGTTCAAAGTTGGACATCAGAATTGGACATTTGCTGATTATACAAAGCTTGCTCTCCACCGGGTAAAGTCTGGCACCATCATTCATTTAAGGACTTTCAGAGACTTTCAGAGACTTCAGTTTGTTAGTTTTGATGTTTTGAATTCTTCCATAAAGTTTTTCACATTGTAATTGTTTCTGGCCATCGTGTTGCTTTTGATATTTCTGATTGACATTTTGCAACACAGGGGTTTGTTTGTTTACTCCACTTTTGTGAAGCCTGTCTCTAGTCTCACATTTTGGGACTTGAAGGGCTGATCTTAGAAATTTGGATTGTACTAGTTTTAGGGGTGCAAAATTGGAGAAGGGGCCCAGCTGAGCACCACAGAGAAGTTGAGAGCTGTCCAGCAACACCCAACGAACTACAGGTTCTTTACCCCTGACTTAAACCACCTACGTAGTCCCTTTTCATCCAGGCCTCCCCATCATAATTAACCCCTCCCCCTAATACCCCAAATCATCTCTGCATCCCACTATCTCCAACAATTTTACGTCCCTGGATGATCTTGACCAACTGTACCTTTCTTGGGCAGCCCCAAAAGTGCAACACCCCAAAGATTTGGCTCCTGTCCTTGTACATGTTAGCTCAGAGCTAACCCCCATTCAGTTCAATGGGACTTACAGTCAGATAAGTCTTTATAGAGCTGTTGCAGTCTGGGATACATTGCAATGATATGCTTGCTTGCATTCAAGTCACTCTCACCCCGCTAGGTTTGCTTTGCACAAAAACCGACGTTCAAATTTCCAGGAACTTTGCAAATTTGGAAACCCGTGTCAAATTCCTTTGCTAAGAATAAAATCCATGCGGTTGGGTCCTTGGTTTTTGCACAAAATGCACCAGAAACATGGAGACTGCTTTGTGTCTGTTTGACATATGTGTGGGGTTATTATTATTATTTTTTTATAAAAAAAAATCATTTCCCATTGGAATCAGGAATTTGAGTCTTCTCTTTTTGTGTGTTTCATTGGAGGCAAGGGAGAAAAGTGCAGTGAAAACTCAGTAAACAATACACAAATGAATTTGTTTCAGTCTTGGGCTATATACACCTTAGTGGCATAAAGAATAGATAGGTCATTCCCCGCCCCCCTTTTGCATTTTAATTTGCTTTTTTACATTCCTATATGGACCTGAAAGAGGGTGGGTGGGGATCTTCTTTATCCTATGCCCTTCACCAGATTTGCTTCCTCCCACCAAACTCCAATGATGATGATGATATATTATTTATACCCTGCCCATCTGGCTGGGTTTTCTTCATCATTCTGCCCGGACACTGAGGTCCAATGCCGAGGGCCTTCTGGCGGTTTCCTCACTGCCAGAAGCAAATCTACAGGGAACCAGGCAGAGGGCCTTCTCGCTAGTGGCATCCGCCCTGTGGAACACCCTTCCATCAGATGACAAGGAAATAAACAACTACCTGACATTTTGAAAACATCTGAAGGCAGCCCTGTTCAGGGAAGTTTTTAATGTGTGACATTTTGATGTATTTTTTAAACTTTGTTGGAAGCCGCCCAGAGTGGCTGGGGTAACCCAGCCAGATGGGCGGGGTACAGATATATTATATTATTATTATTATTATTATTATTATTATTATTATTATTATTATCTCTAATGGACCAGCGGGAGGGGCACGCAATCTCTGCCCGGAGTGGGTTGTCCCACCAACAGCCTGGCCCATCTTTCATTTCATACGTGGCCACATCAATGGAAAGCCGTTGAACAGCGATTACGCCTACGTCTTTGGGAGTTTGGACTGGCCAGCTCAGGCAGCCTCCGTTCTTCCCTCCTACCTTGCAAATTATCTTCTGGCCCAGTTTCAAGAGGTTCACGTTTTCTGATGGCTCGCTTTGAGGATCAGGAGTGCAGCTGGGAGCGATGTTCAGTACACCATGCCTTGGAAGGAGATAATTGGCTCCTGGAAGAGAACACGGTTCTTTAAGACAACTGACATGTTTCAAAGGATGCTTTCCTGAAGAGTGATTGCTCTGACTGGAGAAGAAATTCTGATTGATGATGACAATTTCTATACCATATTAGATTTTTAAGGGAAACAATTTCAAAGTAGTTTACAACACATTCAAACATCAACTAAGACAACCCACAATAGAATTATAGAATTGCAGAGTTGGAAGGGACCCTGGAGTCATCTAGTCTAACCCCCTTGCAATGCAGGAATCTCAACTAAAGTATCCATAACAGGTGACCATCCAACCTCTGCTTTAAAACCTCCAAGGAAGGAGAATAAAACATTCCTGAAGAAAGTCAAATGTAAAGTATATCTTCAAAGCAGCATAATTAACAAGGAACTAAGATATTACCTTAAGGGACACGGATGGCGCTGTGGGTTAAACCACTGGGCCTAGGACTTGCCGATCAGAAGGTCAGCAGTTTGAATCCCTGCGACGGGGTGAGCTCCCATTGCTCGGTCTCTGCTCCTGCCAACCTAGCAGTTCAAAAGCACGTCAAAGTGCAAGTAGATAAATAGGTACCACTCTGGCGGGAAGGTAAACGGCGTTCCATGCGCTGCTCTGGTTCCGCCAGAAGTGGCTTAGTTATGCTGGCCACATGACCCAGAAGCTGTACGTCGGCTCCCTCGGCCAATAAAGTGAGATGAGCACCGCAACCCCAGAGTCGGTCATGACTGCACCTAATGGTCAGGGGTCCCTTTACCTTTACCTTAAGATATTACCTTAAAGATTTTGAAATGAAACACAACTAAAGGAAGTCAAATTTAAAACACACATTTAAAATAGCACAATTGATAAACTGCGGTTGCTGCCAGCTCTGCCAATGGTGGTTCATGGTGATCAGAGAGCATGGAAGCTCAGACTGGGTCTGCACTAAGAGGCGGCCAAGATGGTTGTTTGAAAGTGAACCTGCCTAAATCACAAGTTTCAAAACAGTATGCAAACTGAAACATAGCCACTCACATGAC